TACCTAGTTTCTCAACTTGACTTTCTGAATCTTGCTTACCACGGTTGCGCGCAGGTGCAGAATGTTTCGGTTCAATGACTTGAGGTTCATCTGAATCAATCTTGTCCAAACCTAATTCCCTAGCTACCTTATCAAGCTCATCTTCTTCATCAAGCTTGGGATAGGAGACAACAACCTTCTTTCTTGATGAACCTGATTGAGAGTCATCGACAACCTGAGGTTTCTGCTTACCTACGTGTCTTTTGGCTGCAGGTGGACCTACCTCAATCTTTTTCGAGCCTGGTCCATTTGAAAGCGGTTTGCCTTCCTCCTTCTTTAAGGAGCTTGGCTTCTTCTTCTGTACACCTGATGGCACTGAAGAGGCTGACTCAGGGTGAAAAAGATCATCAATGTTTCCACGAAAGGGCTTTGCACGATCAATGTCACTTCTGACAATCTCCTCTGGGATCACGTAGTCCTCCTTGATCTTGTAGATGGTCTTGCCCTTCCAGAACTCTTCACTCTGTTCAGAAAACCTCTTCTTCTCAGTGCGCCAGTTGTCCTTGTGAAGAACCTTCTTCTTACTCTTCTGGAATTCCATGTGGGTCTCTCTCTCATCAAGAAGTTGATCTTTTGGAATTGGAGTTTTCTCTGATCGAGTCATCTCATGTAAGTTCATTCTCTTGTCCTTGTGGTGCCTGATGAGTTCACGACGTAGTGGATCAACCTGCCAGTAGTCACCAGTCACCAAAGCTTCTCCTTCATGATCATCTTGTTTGACAGCAATCTGGCTGTACTCAAAGTGATCGTGTTGTGAATAGAAACTTTTGACTTGTGGAGTCTTGAAATGAACTTGGCTCATGTACCATGCTACATCTTGTAGGTCGAGCATGAGATGAGTACTGATGGCTGTCCTCAAAACCATTTTTCTCATGCCAATACGTGCACAGGACAAATAAGCCTTCTCTGGAGTAAGTTCAAATTGAAATCCAAGGTTTCTCATCTGTGGAAGTGACATCAACAATGGGACATCACCTTCTTCGACAATGTCGAATTCTGTAAACTGAGTGTTCCATCCATGATCATACATGAATATCACGAGCTTCTCAGTACATTTTGATTGTTGTGAGTTTGCAAAGAAGAATCTTGAACTTGTTGGCTGAATTTCATACCGGAGTCCACTGTTGGGATGTGAGTCAACATATCTGCAAAATGCTTCAACTGCTCGTCGAGAGCCCATAGCTCTTGTGCATCCAAGATCCAGAATACACACAGTTGGTGGTGCAGAATTCTCTGTGTGAAAAGCTAGTCCATTCTCACATGCCAGATCAGTTTGCACAGTATGAAATGAAAAAGCACTCTGCTGTGATGGTTCCTCTATCTCTGTAGAGCATCCATATGAAAACAATGATGTGCCTTCTGCCAATGGCCTCAATGAGGCCTCACCTTCTTGAAGACCAACTTGCCTGGGCACTACAGCTGGACGTTGTTGTACACCTTGTCGTAGTGCACCAACTTCTCCAACCAGAACAGGGAATCTCTTCATTTCTCTCCTGTTTTGATGTGCTCTTGCATCACGTTGGTTCTGTCCTCCACGACGAGTACGTCGTTGTTCATCTTGTGCTGCATACGTGGATGTCAAAACATCAACACGTGCTGGCTCTGTCTCTGCAACATCAACACGTGCTGGTTCAGTTGTTCCAAATGAAAAGAAACCATGACCAGAACTTGAAGCTGCAGAAGAATAATGAGCTTGTTGAATTGGTTGATCCTGTATGGCAGGAGCTGATGTGGTCTGAGGTTGAACATAGTTCGACTTGCCTTTTCCATCTCCTGGCTTTCCTCCTTTTCCATCATCATCCTTGCCTTTCTTGCCTTTCTTTCCTTTTCCTTTTCCTTTTCCTTTCTTCTGGAAGTATTCATACTCATCCATGTAGTATGAATCATCATAGGCCCAATAGCCTTCATTCCAGGTTTGATCATCGGCCCAATAGCCGTCATAGTTTTCATTCCATTCATCATCTTGCCATTCATCTTCATAATCTTCTTCACTCACCATGTGAGCACGGCCTTTCCTTCTTCTTTTTCCTCGGCCTTTTCCTTTTCTTGATCTGAAGAATCTTCGTCCTCCTCTGCCTTTTCCTTTTCCTTTTCTCTTTCCTTTACCTTTGCCTCGTCTGATGTATTTGCCTTGGAACCTTCTCTGATACCATGTGAAGTTGGCGTCATCATAAACCCAGAAAACATCTTCTAAAGCATCCAGGAATCCTTCTGCGCCGTCTTCTTCTTCGGCCCAATAGCCGTCGGTTCCTTCTAATTCACCTTCATCCAGTACGAGGAAAGATCTTCTCTGTGCCATGCCAGAGGGTTGCATCAATGGATTGTCAACTGCTGTTTTGGTAGTGCAAAACATTTCCAAGAACAGGTCACGTAGTTCTTGAATGCTGTATCGATCGAGGGTTCGTCCACGATGTGTCATGATACTTGTGAGTGTGTTTCTCTGATCTTGACTCAGGTCAGCTAGACTTACAAAAATCAATGCTAGCAAATTTTCACCCAGTGGGAATGCTTGTCGCTGTGCTTCTCTACGATTTTCCTGAAATAGTCTGAATGCCGCTAGTGCCAGTTCATCGTCCAAGGAACAGCTACATGGGGTGTTCCTGAGGCTGCTGCTACTTCAGCTCTCTCTTGTTGATCTCGTTCATGTTCTTGACGTCGTTGTTGAACAAACAGGATTGCTTCAGGACTAGTCACTGTTACTTCTGGAAGTAAATCCATCCAAGACTCAATAAGTCTATTGCCAGTGAGTTGAAATCTAGTCATCCACTTTGAAGATCCATGGTTCCTCTGTTGAACTTCATGAACTGCATGAAACGGTATAAGAACACGTTCTGGGCACCTTTGATGAAATGAGGTCGTAGAAATCTTTTGAAATAAGCCACTCCTTCATAGGGATCCCTGAGTAATTCTCTATCCAATAGCCTCTTGTATTGTTGAGCATCTCCTTCCAGTCTGTTGCGCAATGCTGGACCACGTTTCTCTGGTTCTAACTCCGTAATGTCACCCCAGTCATCAATTGCATCCTCAAAAGCAAAGAAGCTGGTTCGCCCATCATAGGCTGGAGCAACCTTTGTGGTCATCTGTTGCGTCATATGAATCTGTGTATGCTGGGGTGCTCTTCTCATTGCATAAGAGTCATATTGGTTCCATTCATTTGCATCGACAATGTCGAAGTCATCATCATCATAGCCATGGCTTGCCATTGCTTGGGCTCTACCTGGAGCTCACCCTCAATGAGGGATCACAGCTCCGCTACCACTTGAAGAGGGGCCCTAGCGTCTACTTCAAGATCAGCTAAGGCATCTTCCCCAATGACAGCACTTGTTTTACTCAGCCTGTTGCCGGTCTGTGCTTGTCTACAGGGTTACTCTATATACCTCTTGAGCCTTGAAGGGCGCATATAAATGTGCTCAATACTCATGCATGTACCTATGTAGGTATTAGGTCGAAACAAAAACAGGGGTGGGGGGGGTACTAAAATGACTAGCAATCTCCTGAAGAATCAGGTAACGGGGCTGGCCGCCCTCCCCTTTACTTCGTAAAGTAAAACTCAAGGTAGCCCCTCTGGAGCTACCTTTCGTGATTAGGGAATCCGACAGTGCTAAGTGAGTGATTCCCATTCCGAATTCAACCAAACAAGCAGCATCGATCAGAATTCCGAAGTGGCTCATATTTCTTTGGCATTACGAGGTTCCCTTGACGGGATTCAACAGATGTGAGCCACATCATTGTGTGACTGTGATCTATATTTCATATATAGACATGTGTGATCATGTGTGTAGACGCCCAAGGACCAGAAAAGGACAAGTCATTTTGAGAGAAACTTCAGCATGGCATGGCTGAGGCATGCGCTGGTTAGACATGGCACCTTGATGGTGTATAAAGACGTCTTTCGTGGCTGCCTGAAGTGTCTACCTGGGTTCCTGGAATGCAAAAGACTACCCTATTGTATAATACGAATACCGTATGTTTTTTAATCATATATATATGCATGTATTATACATATAATATATATACATATTTTTTTACATATACTGCTTCGAAGAAAACATTCACGAAAAATGGCAGACTTGGCAACTCAAGGCCATGGGCCCATGGCACCATGGAGTCACTTGGCAACTTGGATCTGTTGATTTGATTTCGGCTGCCATTGGAGGGTTTTAAGACTTCTGGGCTGTGACAAAAGCTGCCAGACTAACAAATAAATTTTGATACCCAATAGTGTTTCCCACATCTGCAAGTCTTAACCCAAGTTAGAAACGTGTTTGTCACTGTTCTAGTAGGGTTTTACTTCTCTATCTTTCGAGGCATGGCAACTGAAGTGGTGATCCCATCTTTGGGTCCAGAATCCCCCTGGTTTGGGGCTGCAAAACACAAACAGGAGCCACTCAAGGGGGGCAGCATGAACAGGCCCACTGGCACAAATATGTGTATGTATGTATATATATATATATATACACATATGAATACATGTGGGTGTGTGTGTGTGTGCATGTGCTCGCGACACTGCAAGCTGACAGTCGTGCATATTCGTGATACTATGTTGTATGTGTATATATATATCTACAAATATCTATAAATAACATAATATGCTATACATATGGAGGTTTGCATAAATGGCGGTACCCCATAAATAGGTTGTTTGTTTCATGGAAAATCCCAATCTAAAATGGATGATCTGGGGGTACCCCCATTTCAGGAACCTCCATGTGTATCAATAATCTTATATACGTATGTTTCCAATATCTATAAATAATATTTATGCAATGGATTGGTTTAAGGGAAAATCTAAGCCGGAAACCATAGATTTTCCCATTAAATATGGGGGTTTCCATGGTTAATCTACAGGAAACCATAGATTTTCCCATTAAATATGGGATTTTCCCATTAAATATGGGGTTTTCCGCTTAAAATGTTCCCTTAAACCAATCCATTGATACCCGCATCTTCTCATCTCCAAGCTACGGCACCAACGGGCTCCACAGCAGAAGAACCTCTGCCAGGGTCACCAGAAACGAGGCTTGCTGCGCTCGGTCCAAGCTGTTGCTGGTGCGAAACTTCACTGAGCGAATGCCTTGGTCAAAACATGGAATGTCACCAATGGAAATATGTAAATCGGTATATAATAGGTATGTAATGAATATATCATGGATATGTATGTGTGTGTGTATGTATGTATGTATGTATGTATGTATGTATGTATGTATGTATGTATGTATGTATGTATGTATGTATGTATGTATGTATGTATATTATATATATATGTACACGATGGATATATAATGGGAATGTAATGGATAAATATATATATATAGGGAATATGATCGGTGTATAATGGGCAAATCAATCCCTGCAGGTATAGAATGGGAATATCATGGGTATATAAATCTCTATGAGCATCTCATGGGACTTTCAGGGGAATATCATGGGTCAAGCGAATAGAATTGGATTTACCATCTATACGGCCAACTGGCCAACAATATGACATATGGTGCATAAAGTCATCCATCCCAGAACATACTCGAAAAATTCTGCATAAATTCCTATGAAAATTAGGATTCATGACCCCCAAGGACTGGGAGGATTATGCAACCTTTGACAGCACAAATGCTTTTCAAGGGCTTTTCAATTGGATTTATGCGTGTACTGTATGTTATGGATGTATTAGTTGTATAGTATGTTAGTATGTTAGTATGTTAGTATGTATGTATGTATGTATGTATGTATATATATATAATTACGCGGGTCATAAGCGCTGTTGCCCTCTGGTTTCATCGAACCTGGGAGAACTGTGGCTCAGAGATCATCGTTGGTTTGCACCGTTTCTCTCGGAGGATCTTTATCTACGAAGGCGCAATGGTCAATGAAAACAGCATACGGATCTTTTGTATACATATACATGAAATCATCAAGCATTAGCTTCACGAATGCGGAAAAACAAATATATAAAGCCATAATTACACCGGCATAGACCCCAGATAGAAAAGGTTGGAACTGATGGTTCCCAACGTGGGAACCAAAGGTTACCATGGCAAGGAACTGCCGGTTCCCAGACCTTGAAACTTAGGGTTCCCAACCTGGGAACCAGAGGTTGCCATTGCAAGGAATTACTGGTTCCCAGAAATTAGAATTTATGTTTTCGAAGATAAGCAACTATCATTGTAAGGAATTGCCGGTTGCGAAAGCTTGAAACTCATGGTTCCAAAGCTGAAAAAACATACGTTACCAGTGGAAGGATCTGTTGATTCCAAAAAGTTGGAACTCATGGTTCTTAATGTTGTTTTGTTTTGCTTACTGAGCCGGTAACAGAACCTTTTGTTTTTCTTAATGGACCGGTAGCGGAATGTTTGCGTTCGGCTGCTGGGCCGGCATAAAAATGTTTTTGCACGAAAAAGGTGCATGTTAAAATGATATGAAAATATTTTTTTTACAACTTTATGGTTTTGCTTAATGGACCGGTAAAGAACGCTCGGTTTTGCTTAATGGACCGGTACCGGAATGTTTGCGTTTGGTTCATGGCAAGGAACTGCCGGTTCCCAAAGGTTGGAACTCACGGTTGCCAACGTGTACCATTGCAAGGAACTGCCGGTTCCCAGAGGTTGGAACTCATGGTTCCCAACCTGGGAACCAGAGGTTACCATTGCAAGCAACTGCCGGTTCCCAGAGGTTGGAACTCATGCTTCCCAACCTGGGAACCATAGGTTACCATTGCAAGCAACTGCCGGTTCCCAGCGGTTGGAACTCATGCTTCCCAACCTGGGAACCATAGGTTACCATTGCAAAGAACTTCCAATTCCTAAACGTTGGAACTGATGGTTCCCAACGTGGGAACCAAAGGTTACCATGGCAAGGAACTGCCGGTTCCCAGACCTTGAAACTTACGGTTCCCAACCTGGGAACCAGAGGTTACCATTGCAAGGAATTGCCGGTTCCCAGAAGTTAGAATTTATGTTTTCGAAGCTAAGCGGCTTTTTAAGGAACTGCGGGTTCCCAAAGCTTGAAACTCATGCCAGTGGAAGGATCTGTTGATTGCAAAAAGTGCGAACTCATGGTTCTTAATGTTGTTTTGTTTTGTTTACTGAGCCGGTAACAGAACCTTTTGTTTGCTTAATGGACCGGTAGCGGAATGTTTGCGTTCGGCTGCTGCGCCGGCATAAAAATGTTTTTGCACGAAAAAGGTGCATGTTAAAATGATATGAAAACAGTTTCTTTACAACTTTATGGTTTTGCTTAATGGACCGGTACAGAACGCTTTGTTTTGCTTAATGGACCGGTACCGGAATGTTTGCGTTTGGTTCCCCAAAGGTTGGAACTCACGGTTGCCAACGTGGGAACCACAGGTTACCATTGCAAGGAACTGCCGGTTCCCAGAGGTTGGAACTCCTGGTTCCCAACCTGGGAACCATGGGTTACCATTGCAAGCAACTGCCGGGTACCAGAGGTTGGAACCCATGCTTCCCAACCTGGGAACCATAGGTTACCATTGCAAAGAACTTCCGTTTCCTAAAGGTTGGAACTGATGGTTCCCAACGTGGGAACCAAAGGTTACCATGGCAAGGAACTGCCGGTTCCCAGACCTTGAAACTTACGGTTCCCAACCTGGGAACCAGAGGTTACCATTGCAAGGAATTGCCGGTTCCCAGAAGTTAGAATTTATGTTTTCGAGCTAAGCGGCTATCATTGTAAGGAACTGCAGGTTCCCAAAGCTTGAAACTCATGGTTCCAAGATGTTCCAAGCCTGAAAAAGTAACGTTACCACTGGAGGGATCTCTTGATTGCAAAAAGTTAGACGTCATGGTTCTTAATGTTGTTTTGTTTTGTTTACTGAGCCGGTAACAGAACCTTTAGTTTTGCTTAATGGACCGGTAGCGGAATGTTTGCGTTCGGCTGCTGGGCCGGCATAAAAATGTTTTTGCACGAAAAAGGTGCATGTTAAAATGATATGAAAACATTTTTTTTTACAACTTTATGGTTTTGCTTAATGGACCGGTAAAGAACGCTCGGTTTTGCTTAATGGACCGGTACCGGAATGTTTGCGTTTGGTTCATGGCAAGGAACTGCCGGTTTCCAAAGGTTGGAACTCACGGTTGCCAACGTGGGAACCACAGGTTACAGGTTACTATTGCAAGGAACTGCCGGCTCCCAGAGGTTGGAACTCCTGGTTCCCAACTTGGGAACCATGGGTTACCATTGCAAGGAACTGCCGGTTCCCAGAGGTTGGAACTCATGCTTCCCAACCTGGGAACCATAGGCTACCATTGCAAAGAACTTCCGTTTCCTAAAGGTTGGAACTGATGGTTCCCAACGTGGGAACCAAAGGTTACCATGGAAAAGAACTGCCGGTTCCCAGACCTTGAAACTTACGGTTCCCAACCTGGGAACCAGAGGTTGCCATTGCAAGGAATTGCCGGTTCCCAGAAGTTAGAATTTATGTTTTCGAAGATAAGCAACTATCATTGTAAGGAATTGCCGGTTGCGAAAGCTTGAAACTCATGGTTCCAAAGCTGAAAAAGCATACGTTACCAGTGGAAGGATCTGTTGATTCCAAAAAGTTAGAACTCATGGTTCTTAATGTTGTTTTGTTTTGTTTACTGAGCCGGTAACAGAACCTTTTGTTTTGCTTAATGGACCGGTAAAGAACGCTTTGTTTTGCTTAATGGACCGGTACCAGAATGTTTGCGTTTGGTTCATGGCAAGGAACTGCCGGGTCCCAAAGGTTGGAACTCACGCTTGCCAACGTGGGAACCATGGGTTACCATTGCAAAGAACTGCCGGTTCCCACAGGTTAGAAGTCATGGGGAACCAGAGGTTACCATTGCAAGCAACTGCCGGTTCCCAGAGGTTGGAACTCATGCTTCCCAACCTGGGAACCATAGGTTACCATTGCAAAGAACTTCCAGTTCCTAAAGGTTGGAACTGATGGTTCCCAACGTGGGAACCAAAGGTTGCCATGGCAAGGAACTGCCGGTTCCCAGACCTTGAAACTTACGGTTCCCAACCTGGGAACCAGAGGTTACCATTGCAAGGAATTGCCGGTTCCCAGAAGTTAGAATTTATGTTTTCGAGCTAAGCGGCTTTCATTGTAAGGAACTGCGGGTTTCCAAAGCTTGAAACTCATGGTTCCAAGCCTGAAAAACTAACGTTACCAGTGGAAGGATCTGTTGATTGCAAAAAGTTAGAACTCATGGTTCTTAATGTTGTTTTGTTTTGTTTACTGAGCCGGTAACAGAACCTTTTGTTTTGCTTAATGGACCGGTAGCGGAATGTTTGCGTTTGGCTGTTGGGCCGGCATAAAAATGTTTTGCATGAAAAAGGTGCATGTTAAAATGATATGAAAACAGTTTCTTTACAATTTTATGGTTTTGCTTAATGGGCCGGTAAAGAACGCTTTGTTTTGCTCAATGGACCGGTACCGGAATGTTTGCGTTTGGTTCATGGTAAGGAACTGCCGGTTCCCAAAGGTTGGAACTCACTGTTGCCAACGTGGGAACCACAGGTTACCATTGCAAGGAACTGCCGGTTCCCAGAGATTGGAACTCCTGGTTCCCAACCTGGGAACCATGGGTTACCATTGCAAGGAACTGCCGGTTCCCAGAGGTTGGAACTCATGGTTCCCAACCTGGGAACTAGAGGTTACCATTGCAAAGAACTTCCAATTCCTAAAGGTTGGAACTGATGGTTCCCAACGTGGGAACCAAAGCACACCACCCTGCACAGCACCTTTCACACCACCCTTCACAGCTCCCTGCACAGCACCTTTGCCAGACTTCGCCACCACAGTCTGGACAGCACCCTGCACAGCACCCTGCACAGCACCTTTGCCAGACTTCGCCACCGCACTACTACAGCACCCTGCACAGCACCCTGCACAGCACCTTTGTCAGCACCCTGCACAGCACCCTGCACAGCACCCTGCACAGCACCCTGCACAGCACCTTTGCCAGACTTCGCCACCGCACTCTGGACAACACCCTGCACAGCACCCCTGCACAGCACCCTGCACAGCACCTGTGCCAGACTTCGCCACCGCAGTCTGGACAAGACACCTGCACAGCACCCTGCACAGCACCCTGCACAGCACCTTTGCCAGACTTCGCCACCGCAGCACCCTGCACAGCACCCTGCACAGCACCAGACTGCACAGCACCCTGCACAGCACCCCGCACAGCACTGCACCACCTGGCAGACTTCGCCACCGCACTCTGGACAGCACAGCACCCCTGCACAGCACCCTGCACAGCACCCTGCACACACCCCCTGCACAGCACCCTGCACAGCACCCTGCACAGCACCCTGCACAGCACCCTGCTCAAAAGTTCGCCACCGAAGACCCCACCTTTGAGAAGTAAGAACCCCTATAGCTTGCCAGCTATCTGGGGAAAAATCCATAAAATAGATTCAGTGCCTTTTGAATTGATTGTACACTTGCATGCAGCATCTTACAGTAAGTGAATTTGGAACCGGAGTTTACTCAGGCACCTGGTTTCCCGAACAAGTTCCCTTAAATCTCCTGAACATATTCCTTCTATCAAATTCATGACATGGCACAAGCATATTGCAGGTGTGTCTGAAAATATAGCATATCCCTAATTCCATTCCCACAATACAAGTTCAGTTTTTGAGTTCAATCCCACAATTTTGGACGTACCCATATGGTATTGATTATATATACCGTTAATATCCAATGATATCCATGAATCCTATCCGTATCCAACCATTTTATCATATTGTTGTTATGTTGATCAAGTTAATCAAGTTCCATTTTACATAGGTTCACTCCCACTTTTCGATGGTTCTTAATCATGTTCAATCCCTATGAATTGGCTGGTGTTCAATGCCATATGTTCAGGTCCAAGTTGCCAAAGTAGGCCAAAGGAAAAAGCCAGAGCTGTCCTTCGATCTCTTTGGAAAGCTTCCACAAGACCAGCACTATGACCTGACTGAGTCGCCGACTTGGCGGGAACACAGAACACTCCGGATGCCACAAAGGCCATATGAGCTATGGACATCTGTGACATCTATGGAAGCCATGGCCCATTTAATGAAAATGATTGATTACAGTACCTCTCATGTTTACACAAAAATTTGGTGATTTTCCAGTTTGCTATGTTGAATCACCAGGGGCTTTTTGGGTCAAACGGTGGTTCCAGTTGGAGGCCCGGAAACAGCCGAGCTACGGGTTGCAAAAATGCACGTTGGATCATTTTGGTGACCTTGGTAAGAGCGTTGGATCGCCAGACTTGGGAGCCAAACAGATTCGGTTTTCTCTTCTGAATAGTGATCATGAAAAATCTACTCTTCACAGCAAAGAAATCTGGAATGTGATGGATCATCACAGCTTCTGAACCTCTCAAGGAGTGAAAAAAATTAAAGCAAATGTGCCACTTCCTTCCAATTCAGTCACAAGCTGTTTCGCTGCACAAGCTTTGGCCATGACAACTGGGTAGCCACAAGTTCTCCGCAAAGGGACAAACAGAGGACCAAGAGTTTCGACAATTGAGCGAACACATGCCTTGGCTGCTTGGCTGAAAGCTGCAAAGTTCGCGAAGTCAGCCATGTGAATACCCCCCAACCGTCCCAAAACATGTTTTCACACGTCCTTCAGTCCTTGAAATCCAGGATACGATGTCTGCAAGAGTTGACTTTACACCCCGTCAAAAAGCACTTTGGTCCACGACAGCGTGTCAAGCAGCATCCGACCTCCACCAATTCTTATTCTGCAGACCTGAAGGGTCGGCTTGGTACCAGTCAAACCAGTTCTTGTTTACATGGGGGTGCCCCGCTTTGATAGACCACTGGGAACAGGATCTTATATTCATATCATTTCATATCTGGGTAAGTAATCCATACTGATCCCGTCCTGCAGCTCCCCTGTTGGGAAAATGCGAGACTTGGGTGATGGGATTGATGGAGTGGACTGTGGCTACTTGGAGGATCCTCCCGCGTGTTAGTGATGAAGTAAGCCTAGTAAGTCCCCATTCAGTGACATTATCCCATTTTTCAGTAGGTTTATAGGTTTCCCTACTATGGGTTCTCATATATAATCCCCAGTATAAGTCCCTATAGTAACCAACCGACCAGGGTATTTTTCATGGCTCAATTGGCTTATGACTTTGGTTTCTCACCAGTTACGATCCTCGTACAGCCGAAATGGAATGCGGAATGTCTGATGTCTTCTGGCGGCTAGATCCTTCAAAGTACTTCAAAGATTCAGCCGATTGCAAATATTTGGGTCTGTCCAAAACTAGGGGTTAGCCTCAAATGGCAGTTGTAAAATACCAATGATATTGTTGAAAATGGGGATACTAGGGGATACCATCAAAAACTAGGGGATAATATTGATAGTTTGCCCCATCAAACCTAAGGGATTCCATCCATTCTTTGAAAATACTAAAGTTATCCCGGTGGGAATTCGCCTGCTCAAAGGGACACCTCATTCTTAAGATTAAAAACGGCAGTCCACCTATAACTACTGAAATGGCACATCTAAAGAATCACTACCTAGGATGCCTGAAGGTCTGACACCCTCTAAAAAATCACTACCCAGGCAAGCAACTACAAAATCAAAAATACAAATAATTACAACTACAACAGCAATTCTCTAAAGAATCAGGTCTGTGTTAGCCACGTAGCTGTCACCCTCCCTAAAACACCAAATGTTTGTTTTGCACACCGCAGTTGCCAGTTGTTTGTCTTGTTCACCCTGCCAGATTCGCGGTTTCTGTTTTTGTTAATCGCAGTTTTCGCAAATTTCAATAGTTCCAAAAGCATGTCAATTGCGCCTCAAAAGCCCTCCCAAAAAAATCATGACCCAAGATGCCCCTACCAAAAAACGTGGGTTAGCCATGTGACAAAAACAACTTTTCTACCTCTCAAAAAAAAAGGGACAACCCTGGTTGTATGATTCTTTAGAGAAATTTCCCAGGTGCATCTCAAATTTGGCATCAAGTTTTGGACTCTTTTTCAGGGAAACCCACTTCATGAGGATGATGGTCCCAGGTTCTATGCCATGATTCAATGAAGAGGGACTATGGCTAAGCCGGGTACCAACTTGGATCCTCCAAAAAGAACTGCTTATATTCAGTACAAAAAACCATACTCAACCACACGTCACTATCCTTAACCATACGCAATCCATTTTTGGCCTGTCCATGATTTCACTTTCAAAGTCTCCCGACATCTTCTGGTCAATGAAAAATGGACGAGATGCAGAGGTCGTTGGTGGGATCCAACAGCTGATGCTCTCCCAGCGAAATGTTGAGATTTTGGTAGTGCTCGGTTAAAGGATTGCATACCGTCCAAAACCTGGCCCAGTTCACCAACGTCATCAGGATGTTTCCTCTTCTGTTCCGAAAAAAAATTGGGATCTGTTTCAAGGTTCCAAAATAAACAGTTGCTGCCAGTTGCTGTTCCCCATCCCTCACCATGAAACCATGAACCACCTGGGATTTTGAATATTGCTAAATTGGGGGCTGGATCAAACTCCAAGGTTCTCCAAAGGTTCCCCTCGTTTTCCGACCATGCAAGAAATGGGGAGATACTAGGGTTTTGACCCATGTAGGTCTGATATTCTAACGATTCCGCTTCTTTCTTGAGAAAAGATGGCTGAAAGACACCTGCCTCAATGATAGTGGCAACTCTCCCGGGGCCCCCGGGGTCCCCAAGGGCCCAAGTGGCCACAAAAAAGGAGACCCTACCAGGCCCTACCGCCCGCAAAATGCTACTTGATAAGTTACACTAATCCCCCAAAAAGATGGTTCGACAGTTGGATTGTACCTCCAGTAAACATAGCAAAAAGATATGGAAATATGGAACAGCCACCATGAAATTCGATCAGTTCCTCGGAAACCCATAAGCAAAGCCCAAGGAACCGTGTCCATCCCCGCATGCAGTGTTCATTGAGGTAAATGGTGCACAGTGTAGCATTCAGCCACATCGTTGCCGAACGAGCCGCCATGAGCAACATGGATCGTCCTAGTTCGCGCTGAGTCGCATGGTGCTAGTTCTGGATCTTCAATATCTTCATCCCCATCAGCTAATTCACCTCTATTCATGCAGGATGGTGCTTCCCAATTAGAAGTTAGTTTTTAAAGCCCATTAACATCCATGAACTAGTTCGTCATATCATCATATCTATCTACCATAAACCATAGTTCATTCAGCCATTTTTTTAGGCAACTTAACTCTCTTGAAGCCCCATCCTGTGGTGTTTACTGGTGTTTAATGGTGTGGCATCACACCCATCACCAGGCTTCTCAGGGCAGATCTTTCAGAGATCAAGGCCGCCAGCTTGGGAGTCAGCAACAGATCCTCGGGCTTCGCCGGCGCCGGGTGCTGGGGGGGTTACCACCCTTGGAATATGAACAAAATCCTTACATAAGTTGTCTAAGGATCGCAATGATGTCGGAAGATTGAATGAAATTATATGAAATCCTCCTTTTTGGCTGAGTTGATAAAATTGTTGAAATTAAATGAAAAAAAGAACGCCTGAACGCCGTTTCGCTTCTGGAGACCTCTTGAATCTCTTCGCATCTCTTTGTCAAACTTGAAAAAATGCCCAAGCAAAATCCTGCATTGTCACATCCCAGCAGCCACAAGCAGCATGATTGGCACTGCCAGGCTATGGATGGTGGTCAGCAAGTTAGGACTTGTGATGATGAGGGTGTTCTGTCGAGGTAGGCTATCCACCATGGCATAAGCCATGGAGGGCGTGGAGAGAAGAAGCACCAGGAAGAGCCACCTGAGTCAGGAAGCACCGTGGCATTGCCGGGCCTTTCCAAACCAAAAATGAAGATTCCCTAGTGATTTGACCAAAGGAAAAAAAGAAACTCAGCAAATCGACGGCCACAGGATGAACCAGAAGAATTTCCCCAGCCGACTCGCCGAGTCCTTTCTCGCACCGGGAAGCGAAAGCGTCGAAAGCCACGATGAGGGCATCGTCGTCCTGTGGGGCTTCGGCACATCTCGCAACCATCGCATGCCTAGCAGGATCCATGCCGACCAACCCAAAGCCAACACCGCGTCCAGGCTGCCCGGAAAATGAGCCAGGCTGGAATCCCCCAGCACATCTCCACAACGGTAGTAGCCGGCACCTCCTAAATAAAGAGCCAGGAGCAAGGAGTAGATGGGGAGAAACTGCACACTCATTCCTGGTGGTCATGCCATCTCCAAACATGTGTAAGTCGGTGCAGATCAGCATCCAATGTATTTTTGGGTGGAACTAAAACATACATCTAAATGCCTAAACCAGATTCGCATCACGAAGACATGGGCCTTACCTGTCTGATCTTCCTGATTCTCAAATCCTCCAAGAAGAAAGGTGGAGCAGTTGCCCAGCGAATACAAAGCTGCGGCGAAGATAGCGCCCAGGGACACCAACATGGTCAACACTCTCTGACCCCTCAAACTGGAGACATACCTTGATTGCAACTGCTGATCCCAAAAAGTCCATGGCTTCAGGATCTGGGCTTCTGGGATTTGAGGATCCAAAAACGACAGGTAAATAGCTAGAAATGATCCATCCAGATACAAAAATGGTTGGTTTTCAGTATCATGAACCCAGTCCGGTAATGCCTTGGTCCCATTGCCGAGCATATTTCCCATGAGGATCAAAGATCGTAGGCTGGCCACGCCAGCTTCAGAAGTGACTCGTGTTGGCAAAGAGCAGGAGAAGCGGTTGCTCTGCAATAGCAGCACCGGCCCTCGAGAGGAGGCAGTTGAACAGTTGCCATGGTTGTATGCGTTCGGACACCTTTCAAAGATGAGTTGCATCTCCTGAAAGCTCAAGTTGAAGTCATCCAAATTGAAAGTGGAGTCACAGGTGATAGTTAGGTCTGACAAAAAAATAGTCTGTTTGTGAAATTCGAAGGAGAAGTCATCCGCGCAGCCGGTCTTCAAGTTCAACTCTGGAATGCGACCAGACAAGTCATTTCCGAAGGCTGAGAGGAACGACAACTGCGGAGAACTGCTGAAACCTTAGATTGTTTAAGATAACTCAAATAAATGGATGGATGGATAGATAGATAGATAGATGGATAGATCGATGGATGGATCGATGGATGGATCGATGGATAGATCGATGGATAGATAGATAGATAGATACATAGATAGATAGATAGATAGATGGATGGATCGATGGATAGATCGATGGATAGATCGATAGATAGATAGATAGATGGATGGATGGATCGATGGATAGATCGATAAATAGATCGATAAATAGATAGATAGATTGATAGATTGATAGATAGATTGATAGATAGATTGATAGATAGATAGAAAGAAAGATAGATAGATAGAGGGATAGAGGGATAGAGAGATAGAGAGATAGAGAGATAGAGAGATAGAGAGATAGAGAGATAGAGAGATAGAGAGATAGAGAGATAGAGAGATAGAGAGATAGAGAGATAGAGAGATAGATAGATAGATAGATAGACAGATAGATAGATAGATAGGTAGATAGATAGATAGATAGATAGACAGAGAGAGATAGAGAGAGATAGAGAGATAGAGAACTGGAGAGATAAGAAAAAGACTGACAGATAAGATAGTGATAAAGATGAAGACAAAGATAAAGATAAATATAAGATAAGATACGTAAGATAGATAAGATAGATCAGGTCGATCAGATAGATCAAATAGATCGGATAGATAGATTGATTGATAGATTAATAGGTACATATATGTATATGTATATAATGTATATATAGTGTGTATATATATAGTGTATATATATATCGTGTATATATATATAGTGTATATATATAGTGTAAATATACTGCATATGTAATGTAAATATATATATATGTGTGTATATATATATAGTGTATACATATATATATCTATCTATCAATGTACTGTGTATATATATAGTGTGTATATATATATACAGTGTATTTATAGTCACTTTATATGTCTACATATATATATATATATAGTCTGTATGTAAACAGATAGTGTGTATATATATATATAGCCTGCATATATATATATGTAGTCTCTAAATATATATATATATCTATCTATCTATCTATCTGTCTGTCTATCTATCTATCTATAGTGTATATATTCAGTGTATATTTATATATATATACATATGGTGTGTGTCTAAATACATAGTATACATATTATATACGTATATTTATTTATTTATTTAGATTTGTTTTTTTACTTTTGTTTATTTATGTAAATATAGAATATAAAATAACGTGCCTGGGCTGCTTAGGATACGCAATTTTTTCAACCCACCGGGTGACCGCAGGGACAATGAATGAATAGCCAGGATAGCAGTTTGGAGCGCGCAAATACCATTTAGGAATACCGACTTTTGCATGTCGACAACATGACTAAAACCCAACTATTTTGACGCTTTTTCAATTTCTATTACTTGGAGAAGAAAAAACAAAACGTAAGAGAAGAAGAGAAGGAGAAAAGAGAAGGTAAGCGGACACCCTGAAAAAAACAATATGGACCGCGGTTAAGAATTACAAGCAGAATTCGGTCTCCCAAATTTCACCGGGAAATTAAAGATCCTAAAATGGGGGTACTGTACCATATAAGGCCATATGTTATTGGGATATTCCATTACATAGGCCTTATATAGGCCTTAGGTACATCCAATTTAGGTTCCTGAAATGGCCGTTGAAAATTGAACAGATCCTGGCTACCATTCTGAATCTACATTAAGCAACAAGCACATTCTTATGTAGTGATTCACAGATGTTATTGGGATTGTGCAAATGAAAAATCATGGCAGTTGCCACCCCTCAACAGCTACTATTTGTGCTTGCCAGGCACTCAATTAAGGTAAGGTCCAAAAATCTTGAACAAAATTTCCTCAGAATCGAAAGTGCATATATCACGTGTTTATCTTCTATGTAACGTGTCTTTTTCAATTCTGGAAGATTCTTTTTGGCGCGCAAAAATTAGCGATTCTGTATTCTATGTATCCTGGGCACGTGATTTACATATATATATATATACAAATGTATTTAGTATATATATATATGTATGCATATCCATCCACCATGTTAAAACACAAAGGTGATGCGTCACTGATGCAGACAGTTGGCTCTCTGATGTTTTCTTCCGGTGGAACTGCTCAAGGGCCCTCATGAGCCCAGATGTCGTGGACACTGGATGTGTCCCTGATATACCCTGCATGATGTACATGAGGATGCATGTATGTTAACATGCCTTGTTGGCATAGAGATGTTGCAGTCTTTGATAACACAACTGATGCTAACAATCCATATCACTGAAACTGATGTTAAAATATGATCACTACCGATGGTGCTCAGAAAAGATCAATAAGCATTCGATGGGAACATGATGCACAAAAGTCTGTACAGTTGATTCGTTTACGTCCTAGGATATTGCTTCCCCGAATGTTTCTCGGTCTTGAAAATTAGATTTGCGTCTCAGATGGTCTCTTCGATCTCATCCACAGGTTCATCAAAATGATGAGATGGAACAGAGGGATGTTCTTCCTTGCTGGGTCGATGACTGTCCCTGATGTACTCCAACATCTCTTTCAGGTAGATGTGGTGCTCAGGATGTCCTCTGAACCTCTTCCCCGGGATGGTCGATGGACTCGCGATGGTAGTCCCAGATGCCAGGCAGGCGTCGATGATGCCCTGCTTCACTGCTGCCTCCAAAGGTCTTGATGAGCAGAGAAGATGCAAGCCTGCATGCCCGATCTTCATCAGATGCTCAGTTCGATCATCTTTCATGGCACGATCGATGGTCACAGGGACATGATAGTTCCAAATCACTCCTGTAGGATTCATTGATGTTGTCCGTCCAGATGCGGCCTTCCGTCATCAGCCACAAGGATAAAGACTGATGTATGCCAAGATGCTGCCACGCGAGTCTCAGACTTCGGTCGAGATGCGTCATCTTCTTCGCGATGTTTGACTCATGGGCAAGATCGCGAGGGGTACTGATGTAGTGCTCCAGGTAATGATACTCTTCACGGGGTACACAAAGAGGTAACCTTGATCTTGCAAATCTTTGATGGCTACCTGATTCAGAAGCCCGTGATGATATTGCTGAGACAACACGATGTTGTCCGGAATCTGAGTGCTCTTGTACTCTTTGATGTTCACCGTCGCTGATGCCGCCATCTCTCGATGTTCAATGATATTCGGTCACTTGATGACACCGCGACGATGGCTACGGAAACGCTGATGTTGACAAAATGGCAACTGATCACAAAACTGATGGAACGAGTTTCTTCAAACTGATGTCCAACATCTTTCCAGATGTCTTTTTCAGAAAAATGACGTCAAACGAAAATCAAACTGATGTCCAGACCAGCGAGTCCACGCAGAAAACGATGGGGATATAGATGTCGATATGGTTCATATAGATATCCATAGATGTAGCACATATACACGATGTGTGAACATGATGTGATACTTCATGATGTAGTCCGCTTGTGCTTATTCAAGATGACCAAGTGTGTGAGGAAATTCAGGATGGCTGCCGCTGTTTGTTTAACCATGGCTAGCCATACTGCCTGATGTCTGTATGCTGGACGAATGCTTGTTACATACATACTGGTGGTACTGGTGATACCTGCTGTTGCTTTGTTTCAACGTGTGTTGATGCCAGTGCTGTAGATGAGCCATCTCAGCACTTCTGCTGTCACGTATTTCGTGAGGATGTCTGCTGGGTTGTCTTTGGTTGGTATTTTGTGCAGCGATACCACGCCTCCATGGGTGAGGTCCTGGATGAAAATGAACTTGAGCACGATGTTCCTTGCTCGTTTTGATACTCCTTGTCTTGTTGCCATAGATTTTCCTGCTGAGCTATCGGTGTGGATGCGCACGTTGACGCGCTTGGTGTGCAGGGCTTCCATGATGAAGTTCCTGACGTATAGCGCTTCTTGGGCTCCAGTGCTGATGGCATAGAATTCAGCTTCAGCTGATGACAAGGCTACCACTCCTTGTGTTTCTGATCCAAGGTGGATGCAGGTGCCAAGTAGCTCGATGACAAAGCCTGTTGTGCTTCGTCTTGTCTGATGACATCCTGCCCAGTCGGAGTCGACATAGATGTTCAAGTCGGGTTGTTGTGGCGTCTTGTCATAGAGCTTGATTGTTGGTCTGATGCTGAATTTGTAGTCTTTTGTCCCTGCAGGATACCTGACCAGATGTCATACTTTCTTCTGGTCTTTGATGGTTGGTTGCTGAAATTCTTGCAAGTTCTTTCGTTGCGTAGCTGATGACTGGCCTGGTGTATGCCAGCCATTGTAGTTTTCCGACAAGTCGTCGAAATTGTTGATGCTCCATTGTTGATGCTCCTGTTGATCGAGCAGCTGCTCGTCTTCAATGATGGCTTTTCCTGTTGTTGATCCTGCTGTTGTTGGTGGATTGCATTTGTTGAGCTTCATCTCGTGGAAGATGTTGTCCACGTACTCATCATCAAGACTGATGTCGAAATGATCTCCTTTGTTGGTGATTCTTCTTCCCAAAAAGGAAACTGTGTTGCCTGGTGATGCTTCACCAGTTGCTCGTAGTAACATCTTCTCTTGTTGTTTGTCTCCTCCGTTTCTCCTACAAAAGTAGATCGTCGACATAGACCATGATGTATGCCTTTCTGTCTGGATGCTTGTGCACGCTGGGCTCTGATGTGAATCGTATGTAGCCCAGTTCTCTCATGATGCTTGCTATATGGTCTTGCCAGGCTTTTGTTGATGACCTGAGACCATACGTCGCCTTCTTCAGTCTCCAGTAGATGTTCTTGTTGGTGTAGAGCCCTGATGGTGGTTTGAGTAGGATGTTTTGTTGTTGCTCCAAGTAGTGCATGTAAAAATGCTGTGCTGATGTCTCCGTCCCTGATGCTCCAGGATCTTGCTAATGCAATGCACAGGATGACCATGAGAATTGCGAAGAGTGGTGTTGATGCATAGACGTCATCTGCGTCCGTGATGACTTCATCATATCCTAGGCCAACGATGTGTGACCTGACTTATCTCCTTTGTTTCGACGAACCCAATTGGAACCTATCATGTTCCTCTTCTCCTCTTCTGTTGCTTGGTCGAGTGTGATCTCTTCAAACACTCCTTGATTGGCCATGGATGTCATTTCCTTCATCATTCCTTTCTTTAGCTTCTCCTGATCGAATCCTTGTGAATCGTTGATGATGGTTTCCAACAGTCGTTGCTCTTGTCTTTGATTCTGTCGCATCTTCACATGTTGCTGTTGTCACTTGTTGTCCGTTCTTCATTTGAACTGTCACTGCGTTCATGCGTCCTTTTGTTCTGGGTGGTTCTGGTGATCCCTCAGGCCTCTGCGCTGCCTGTTGTTCTGTTTTTGTCCTGTTGCTTTGCTGTGCTTCATTCTGTGATGCTGTCGTCCAGTGTCCTTCTTGATGTTGGACTTCCGACTGGTGCTCTTGCGGGAGCCATGACGGCGCAAATGATGTTGGTGCTGTTGTTGGATGTGCTGGTGTCTCCTATGTGATGGTAACCTTCTGTTTCTTTGATGATGCTGCTTCTTCTTCCATGGGTTGTTGATCCTCGATTGCATTGCTGATGTCTCCTCCTCCTCCTCCTGTGTTGTGATGCCTTTGTCTGCTGTCTGCTTTGGTGTTGATGTCGCGCTTGGCAAAATGAAATGTGGATTGTAGTGTGATGGACTTGGCGCCCATGGCGCGCCATTGAAGACGTCCATCATCTGTCAATTGTACTTCCATGGTTTGACTTGTCTTCTGGTGGTTCTTGCTGTGATGACTTTGCCTCAAATCCCAATGTAGGCTTCTCCTGATGATGTGTCTTTTCCAAGCCAGATGCCTGGATAGAATCTGTTCTCGAGCTTGGGATATTGCTTGATGACTGGTCATGGCATGTAGAGAATGCTTTCTCCAAACTCGCAGATGGGAGTCTTGTTGTCTGACTTCAATCTTCTGAAGTAGCTGGATACCCCATCACTGTGGATGAGATAGTTGTTGGTGAGAAAAGCGCTGTGCTTGATAAGCCATGGCATGACTGGGTGTTGCATGCCAACATAGAACCCATATTTGGTTCTGATGTGCTCTCTGATGACACTTGCTTGTCCAAAGCGTGTTCGATGGAGTCTCTCGATCCTGCCTTGGCTTTGGGAGCTGTAGGCTGGTGAATGCCTGGCTGAGATGCTTGGTACTTTTGATGCTACTGCTTGTACAAGTGCTTTAAGGTATGGTTCATTGTCGCTTTGAACCATTGCTGATGTTCTGCCTGTTTCCATGATGAAAGCGATGATGCTGTGGACACAGTAGTCCATCATGGTTGCTTTGTTGGGAACTAATGTTGCTGAACAAAGACCCGTTTCGATGTCAATAGCTGTCGGTATTGGTGTTGGGTACTGATTCTCAAAGCCTTTGAGGAATGCAAAGTCGATTTGGATGATGGCTCCGCTGCTGCTTCGCTGGGGATGTGCATCTGATCTGCCTCGTCCCTGTATGCAAACATGATCTGTAAGGCATGTGAGTCAACTTGTGTTCCATGATCTCTTGTTCTGTTGGCTGCTTTGGCATTGATGCTGCTCTTGCCTTGATGGCCTGTTGATTGTCCGCTTCATCTTCCTCAAGCTGCTCCTTTTATGGTGGTTTCTTTTCAAAGCTCATTGGTCCTGTCCACTGTTGTGAGTGTTGTGGTTCTGTTGTCCATTCATCGTCGATGCGTCGTGACCTACTGCCATCCAAAGGTTTGATGATCGTCATTCTTGATGGAAGTAGGCTGTCAACTTCTGGTCCATCTGAGAGTAGTCAAATGTTCTTGGGACCACATGGACTCTCTTCCAAAGATGTCCTTCTCTTATACAATAGTCTGATGTCTTGCCTGTTGGATCTGGTGGTGGTATGTGTTGGCCAGATCCTGGAATGTCTGTTGATGGCCTCTGTGGTTGTTTGCCACAATGTTGGTGGTTTCGAAGTCGATGCTCCTTCTTTCTTCTCTGTCACTGTCTTTGCCTTCTGATGCTCTTGCATAATCTGTCTTGGTGTTGTTGCTTTGGGCATGTTGCCTCTCGATGCTGATGCTTTTGGTTTGAACCATGTTTCTCTAATCAGACTCTAACCCATGCTGATCCTTCGATGATCTTGTTCTGATCCTTCTTCTCCTTCTGTTGATAGCCATCCTCTATGATGATCTCTTCCTTTCCTGTTTGTCTGATGATGGTCTTTCTGTAATCCTCAAGATGATCTGTGTTGATGGGACACCCATTGTTGAATGGTGTGAAGAGTGCTCTCCTCAAGCGCTAGTGGATGCGCACGATGTATCCTTGGCTGTTCATCGTCCATATGTCGCTGCTGCCACTGCGAGGTCTTGGACCTGATGTGTCCAATTGTGTTGGTGCTATCATGGCTCGTTGGTTGCCCCCTTCTTCATTCTTGATGATCAGTTGTTGTCCAAGTGGAAGTGGTGAAAGTTTCAAGTTGATGTAGAGTAGTCCATCCTTTTGTGTGATGTGACTCTCAAAGGACTTTGGATGTGTCATGGTCGAGCTCTCACTCATGTTGATCTCAAAGCCTTGATGCATCAGTCCAGTGACTGATAAAATTGGTTGTTTCACATCATCTGTAGCCATAAACCCTGTTCCTGTGACTGTCCTCAGGATGGGTTTGTCTTGTTGCTTCATCTGATGGGTGGAAACGATGTTCCAAACCATGGTTCACAAACGTGGGTTGCTGCACCACTGTCTATCATGATGGTTTCTTCTGCTGCTGCTGGTTGTCCAATTTGGGTTGATGGACAAGAGTGTTGCTATGTAGATGTCCTCCATTGCACTGATGGACTATGCCATGCCATGCCTGTTGGTGTTGTCGATGCTGGTGGTGGTGACTGCGACGATGCTGCTGGTGGTTGATACCCTCGCTCATATCCTTGTTGTGTACAATCTTGGTTGTACCATCCTTGATCATATCCTTGTTGATACTGGTCTTGATACCAGCCATTTGATGGGTCATTCTCCCATTGTTGGTGCTCATCGTTGCCAACGCTGTACACTGAAACTCGGCAATTCCTTGCGATGTGTCCTTGTTGCCCACATTTGTAGCATGTGCCCTTTCCTTTTGATTTTTCTTTTTCTTTCATGTTGTTTGGGGGATACTTTCCCTTTCCTTTTGATGCTCCTTTGAATGGACTTCCTTGTTGAAATGGATTCCCTTGACCGATGGGATATCCTCCTTTTCGTTTTCCTTTGTTATTGTAGGAGCTGTTGTATCCTTTGCCTTGATGCTCGCCTTTTCCTTTCTGATGGCCCGTCTTTCCTTTGTCTTTTCCTTGATGCCATCTGCTGTTGTAAGCTGCGCCGATGTCCATTGGTGCTGGACCTTGTGATGTTCTGTGCTGATTTGCAGTGTTGGGGTCGTAGCTCTGTAGTTGTTGAATCCTTCAGAATGATGCCGTTGCCCTGTAGCACTCGATGATGATCTCCCTGACTGGATTGTAGTCTCTTGTGATGGATGCTGTGAGTTGGAGATGCTGCTGCAGAGCTCCCTGTGTCTCGTTGTGTAAGATGGCTATCTTGATGGAGTCTGGGATGGTAACTGTGCTCTCCCTTTCATATCTGTTCACCTCAAACTCCCATGATGCAAAGGCTTCTTCAAAACGATGTTCTTCAAAAGATTGCTTCAGGAGTTTGGTGAGGCAACCGATGCTTCTTGTCCCAACTGGGATGGAGAACCTTCGATGGATTTGCCTCCATGTCTCAAAGCCGCTGGCGTTGATGCCCATTTGTCGGCAAACTGTTGCTGCTGCTGCTTTGGTTGTTGAAACCTAGATGAGCTGGAGTTCTGCTGCCAGTCTTGTCCATAGTTGTCCTTCTGCTGGTGATGCTGCTCCATCTGTCAGGAGTTGATCTGCGATTGTTTGTTGTGATGCTTCTGCTTGGGCTATCAGGAGGGCGCCGCTTGTAGATAGCAATAAGCGGAAAGGTAAGTTATGCGGACAACCGTCAAGAACCGTCTATGTCTAGGCGGACAACCACACCAGACAAGAGTCCTTGCCGGTATCCACAAGCAGAGGACAATGACTCACTATGAGCAATGCATCCGTATAAACTGGTAACAATTGCAGCTAAAAGCCACGTCAGCCTTCTTTGCTTTGCTCTTCAATCCTTTTCCACTTTTCTGGGAATGGGGCACTGCTGCTGGCACCTACGCATGCTGCGCGATGACATTGCAGTTTACAGCACGGATGGTGGGACAAGCAGAAGACAATGACTCACTATGAGCAACGCATCCGTATAAACTGGTAAAAATTGCAGCTAAAAGCAAGCGCCTTTATCTTCTTCTTCTCTTTGGCCTCGTAGACGTACTCGTTTTTTGGAACCATGTCACCCAATCTCACCACGTATCCTAACATACTCTTGATACAATGTAGACACACTAGCACAGACTAAAAATAGCCCCAGCCTTCAACTCCGCTTGTTCAATCTCTCCAGCCTGGATCAACTGAACTGTTTCAGCTGCAGTCATTCCTCCTTAGTTAGGTGCGCCTTGTGAACCTCGATGACAGATCTACATTGCAAGCACTTTCCACTCCGGGCAATTAAGGAAGTGGAAATCTCCAGATTGCACTTTCTGCAACACAACACTTCCTGCAGCACGAGCTGCACGTAGACTGAATACTTTTGAAATCTCTGGCTTAAATTGTAACATCACGCGAGCATGTCGCAAACGTCAAAAATGCAAGGGTCCTGTTGTTCCCGCAATTTCTGGGACAGTGAGATCCGTCGCCTGAAGTCCTTGCATGAATTCTGATTCAGCATGCTTGAAAGCTTAGATCCGTGAAAATTTGAAATAGAACTCATTGCTCAATACTGCTGCAAGTGTACACGTCCTTGTGAGTGAGCAATCTTAATTTTCAATCAATCATCGTTTGTCTGCGCTGTAAAAGCCTATCCGTCCGTAACAAGACAAGGCGCCATCACGGGTTCCTTCTTTCCATGCTGGGATATACAAACTTCGTACACCAGAACGTATCCCTGCAGCAAGGCAGGATTGAAACATCCACGAACTACGTCTGAACAAAATTGCTTCAGGATGCGTTCAGTGACTGAAAGGTCTTATTTCTCTTGTCTTTTCCACTTGATAATGCGAACATCCTATTAATAATCGTGAGCCTTTGAAAACCTGGCTTCTTCAGCAGTAGCCTGGACAAGAGGCGCTTTTTTATACATGATTTCCTAACCGCAAGCAAAAAAAATTGAACAAGTGCGGCTGCGCCTCCTCCACTTTCGAATCATCAAACCGCACCCACGTGTCGTCAGGCATCCTTGCCAAATCTGGCAAACACGCGTCAAAAAACAATTTTACTGGGACCGTACAGACAAGAGCCTGCACAAGCAGCTATAGTGCTCTTTCTCATCCGCCCCGTGAACGACCACCTAAATGTGGCAAAAAGTCTCAAGCACGCTACAATGGCTTCCTCTTAGCTGCAGTTTGGCAAGCTGCTGCACTCAGCGAAGCACTGCTCGCAGCCGATGTGTACTGCTCATTTTCTACAGGCGTCGCATCCTGCCCGTCCGGCAGGTTTCGCTTCAGATTGACAATCAGCACCTCAAGCCAGTGTCTGTGGAATGTTATTCCAGCGCAACAAGGGCGTAGAACTATGCTTGAGATCAAACGGATAATAAATTGCAGCTCTTTGGCGGGTCCAATGAAACACATTTGAACACACCTCTACCGATTACACCTCGGCAAAGACATTTCCGTCCATGGCAAACTGAGTTCCTTGCGGGCGGTAGATGATCGCAAGGGAGCTGTCTGGTGCTTGGCCCTTTCTTGTTACACCGAGGGCACCTGAAATGAAGCGCGTTGTTCATCTAAGCCGCGTAGTACTGGCGCAACTCTGTCTACACATCTCGAAGTGCACCATATTCTTTGTCCCTGGTTTATTGGCACCTCCACCACTCGTCTTCCGCAAGGCTTTCCATGTCAAAGTATCGCTTCACGGCTTCCTAAAGCTGTCTAGACTCCAGACGATGTGTTGTAATTATTGTCTTTGTTGCTAAGAAGCAAACCTGCTAGAAGACGCCAACAAAATACAATCCACGTAAAAACGCTTAAGCTAACTTCGAGACGCTTTTCTTTCAAACAATGAGGAAACATGTTTCGGCCTCAACCGTCTGCATCAACGCCAAACACAGGCGCCACTGCCTCTGCACAGCGTGGCCACTAGTCGGACGCAACCAATCGGACAAGCCCAGACCGTGATTGCAAACACTTATGGTGACCGGCATGACGCATAAGACGCAAAATCAACAAACATTAGATGATTTCAATCATTTTGTTGACATTCGTTGGCCCGATCTACCAAGAGACATGTCTGCCCCGCATCAGGCAGGGAAGGGCCTTAAGACATTACTGCCCCACCACCCGCACATTCATACAAATCCATTGAAATCCCCTGGCTGGGGCTCTGCCATACATGTTTCTTTCCTACCGACCCCAACTCCGTGCACCCGCGTGGCCTTTCTGTTAGGGTAGACCGCTTTCCGCAGGTGCGACAAGTCAACGTAGACCGGTAGGTTCCCTAGCAAGAAAGACCCGCATTAACATAGACCATCTGCATATGATATGTTCTTCTTCTTCTTTGGGTCGCAATTGTTTCGATATCGTATTTTTCCAAACATTGACGATGAACAGTCAGCTAATTGCAGACCTTCAGGAGCTTGGCCCACGCCGAGTCGCCACCCTGACAAAATTAAACAAGCGTGGTATCATCTCTGCGAACAAACCTTCTATGCTCTAATGGCGCAGAGTCCCAACATTGACACCATTCCCGGAAGCAGAAGCCTGATCGTCTTCCAAAGCACTGCACAAGTACTGCAAAAATTCTTGCGCATCCTGGTTCGTACCAAGCCATTCCTGGCACCTGAGCGTCAAAGCCAGTAATGACATGAAAGCGATTGTTCTTGCTTTTGGCTGAGCCCATCAATTCACCCCGAGGCTATGAGTCTTGGGAATGCTGCATTGATGAGTCCTGTATCTGCTGTGAATCGATACTTCCATTCTTTAAATTGGGAGTAGTTGCCGTCGTATGTTGGTGGGGGGCTTTGTACTGATGCAATGTCCTCACTTGTTCCTCTGCCATTGTTGCTGCAGCTGTTGTTGTACTTGTTGATACTTACCTTACCTGCTGATGCTTGCTTGTTGTTCTTACTTGGAGCGCACCCTGTTAAAACACACAGGTGATGTGTCACTGATGCAGGCAGTTGGCTCTCTGATGTTTTCCTCTGATGGAACTGCTAAAGGCGCTGATGAGCCCAGATGTCATGGACACTCGATGTGTCTCTGATATACCCTGCATGATGTACATAAAGATGTATGCATGTTGCGACATCATCCATACATACATTACATTACATTACATTACGTTACAATACAATGCAAGATATTACAAGATATTAAAAGACATTTCAAGACATTTCAAGACATTACAAGACATTACAAGACATTACAAGACATTACAATACATTACAAGACATTACAAGACATTACCAGACAACACAATACACTACATTGCAATACATTACAATACAGGACAATACAGGACAACACATTACAGTACATTACAATACAGTACAATACATTACAATACATTACAATACATTACAATACATTACAATACATTACAACACATCACAATACATCACAATACATCACAATACATTACAAAACATTACAATACATTACAATACATTACAATACATTACAATACATTACAAGACATACATACATTACATACATACCATACCATACCATACCATACCACACCACACCACACCACACCATACCATACCACAGAGACATACATTAAATTACATTGCATTACATTACATTACAGTACATACATTACAATACATAAATAATAATACATACCTTACATCATACATTACATACATACATTACAGACATACATTACATACATTACATACATTCTATACAAACCATACCATACCATACCATACCATACATTACAATACATACATTACAATACATACATTACAATACATACATTACAATACATACATTACAATACATACATTACAATACATACATTACAATACATAAATTACAATACATACATTACAATACATACGTTACAATACATACGTTACAATACATGCGTTACAATACATACATTACAAGATATACATTACAATACATACATTACAATACATACATTACAATACATACATTACAATACATAAATTACAATACATACATTACAGTTCATCACATTACATTACATTACATTAATTACATTGCATTGCATTACCTTGCATTACCTTACATTACCTTACATTACCTTACATTACCTTACATTGCCTTACATTACCTTACATTACCTTACATTACCTTGCATTACCTTACATTACCTTACATTACCTTACATTACCTTACATTACATACACACGTACACACATACACACATACAAACATACATACATACATACATGCATGCATGCATGCATACATACATACATACATACCTACCATACCATACCATTACATCACATGACATGACATGACATTACATTACAATACATTACATTACCTTACATTACCTTACATTACCTTACATTACCTTACATTACATACACACACATACACACATACACACATACAAACAAACATACATACATACATACCATTACATTACATTACATTAAATTACATTACATTACATTATATTACAATATATACATACATGCGTACGTACGTACGTAGATACATACATACTGACATCACATTACATCACATAACAAAAAGTTACATTACATTACACTACATATATACATAAACACATACACACATACACACATACATACATTGCAATACATTACAGTCCATTACATTGCATTACATTACATTACATACAATACATGCATACCATTACATACCATTACATACCATTACATACCATTACATACCATTACATACCACTACATACCACTACATACCATTACATACCATTGCATACCATTGCATACCATTGCATTGCATTGCTTTGCATGCATGCATCCATCCATCCATACATACATGCATTACATACATACCATGACATGACATGACATGACATGAGATTACATTATTGTACATTACATTACCTTACATTACATTACGGTACAGTACATTACAATACAGTACAGTACATTACATACATATATACATCCGTTACGTTACATTACGTTACATGACGTTACATTACGTTACATTACATTACATACATTACTATTACATACATGCGTATATATATATATATATGCATGTATGTGTATATATATATATATATGTATATACATGCATGTGTGTATAGATAATGCCCAAGTAACTGATGGACGAATAGGCCTTAAATCAGCTCCAAGAAACTCTTGGGGATGCTTCCAGTCAAAGCATTTTCGTGCAGCGTCAGCACTTGCAAATGGGACGCGGCCCCGAAGGCCACTGGGATAGGACCAACCAACATGTTGTTATGCAGCGTTAGAACTTGAAGGGCAGGCAAGGCACCAATGCAGTCAGGGATGTTTCTGTTCAACTTGTTATTGTGCAAATAGATGGTTCGAATCTCTCTCCAGTGGCACAGCACAGTCAAGTTGCCCCTCAGGCCATTGTCATGCAGCAACACAAAGGCGACGCTGCGGAGTTTCTGCAAAGAGTCGGGCCAAGATCGGAGCAAGTTCTTCTGCGCATAGAGGCGCCTCGTAGTGTCGGCTGCTTGAGATTTTTCACCCCTTGGGCATGACTGGATCTAAGGATCTACGTTGAGAGTGATAACTGATGATCGGTAAACAAAAAGCCAGGGAAATAAAAGACTCTTTCAAGATGGTATTGTCTGAGTAATGCCCAGTCAAACAGCCAACAGCAGCAATGCAAGTGCTGAGGAACACCAGTTTCCTCAAATTGCCCAAGGAGTCCGGCAAAGCGGTCAGTTTATTCTTCTGCAAAGAGAGTTCCCTCGGTCCACCACACACTGTTGCGATCGTCGCGCTGGAGACGGAATGAAATGGGTTCAAAAGTGGGTTGGATACCCCCTTCAATTCGCCGTTTCTGCAGTGAACATGATGTTATGGTGTGACGCAATGGTGTTTTCCCTTCTTTTTCAGGTCCAGACCCAAGTCATGTGTCCCTGACGCGTCAGGAAGGCCGAATCGTGGCTGAAGTTTTCACCAGCATTTCGCCACAGACATGTTCAATTCCACACTCATTCATACCACGGGGGGGTTTCCAATCCATGGGGGTACCTCCAGTCATCATCCATTTTAATCGGATACGAAATAAACTATCCAGCTATTGGGAACCACAGCCTTCCCCACCCCCGCATGAAATTCTTTCGAGTCGCCATAAGTTGGTCAGGTGTCCAATGGATTCCGGGAGCTTGGACAGTTGGTTGCTCTGCAAGAGCAAGTGTCTGGCACCGGTGCGGGGAAATTGACTGGATTCCAGAGTCCAAATGGCTCAAATCCAGATTTCAGCCGTTCGTGTTTCCTGGGACACTCTCAGTCTCTCTAGGTCAGATCTGGAGTTCAGCTGTCCCTGGATGTTGTTAGATTCAGTCAGAGTTGTAATCTGGATTTAAGCTCTTCTTTGCAACAAGTTCTTTCTTGTGGGGCTGGACTTCAGTGTTCATCTTTGCTGTGTTTTAAATGGTGTCGTGGCTGCAACTTTAGATTTCAGCTTTCTCATGGCTATCAATTTTGTTATTCCTGAAGATACAACTTGGATTTCAGCTCCTTCATGTTTGTTATTTGAGAAGCTTAAATCCGAAGGACATCTGTTTGACTGGGTCACTGGAGGTTGGGCGTGGAAGCTGCTTTTGAGATTTCAGCTGTTACGTATTTGCATTGTTGCTCAAGTCTTTTTGGCTTTTCCCCAAGGGAACGGTGCATCATGTTATATAGAAGAGGCATTTTGCCTTTGAGTGGACATCCGCCATGTGAGCAGAGTGAACCAGTGGCAAATGCAGCTCAGCCTGAGCAGAGTGAACCAGTGGCAAATGCAGCTCAACCTGAGCAGAGTGAACCAGTGGCAAATGCAGCTCAACTTGAGCAGAGTGAACCAGTGGCGGATGAGCTGAATGAACCAGTGGCTGAGCAGAGAGCTGCAAAGGCCAGGAGTAAAAATAAAGGCGGCGGCAAACGGAAAGAGTGGAAAGAGATTGGCATTGAGACAGTGGAGGCCAAGGAATCTTTGCGAGAAGCCGCTCGCCGGTGGCTGGCTGAAAAGAAGATTATACATCGTCCACTTAGCACCTCAAGTAACAATGGCAAAGCTTGCATCTTGAGCAAGTGTGGTCAGTGTTTGAATTGCACCCGCCAGTGGTGCTTCAGTTTCAAGACCCTGGAAGAGCTGTTGATTGAGCGTTGTGGTGAATGTACCCAGGAGAAGGACGGTGGCGATGTTTGTCCAAGCAGGTTTTGATTGCCAACCTATATAATGCCACTTTATTCGTTGGTGTTTTACCCCATTTAACGCAATAATTTACTCCATTGAACGTAACGATAGCGTAATAAATTTCTATAGTCAACGTAACAATAAAGTAGTAATTGACCACTTTGTACGTATTAATAACGTAATACTTGTCCCCCACTTATATAATGTCATGATCATGAACCCCCATGCCACATTTAACGTAACAATAACGCAATACTTTACCCCAGGTAATGTAATAATAACGTAATAGTTATCTCACATTTAATGTAATGATAATGTAACAAAAAAGTAAGAATAGATAAAGCATGGTAACCAGAGCTATCATGCTTCATATGTTTCTGCATGATGCCTAGGACGTGAAGCGACTGCAGAAGCATTTTGCCAAAGTCTATAGCAAGAGCCATTCTCCAGGCAAAGCGTTGTTAGAGATGACCACAGATGGAGTTCCACAGGAGCTTCGGCCGTCGGCAAGGCAACTGAAGAATATGCGCCCTTGTCAGCAATCTAAAGCATTGCAGGGTATCAGTGTGGATTCCATTGGCCAGCTGCAAGTTTTTTTGGAGAAGCCGCCTGAGTGCATCAGGGTTTACACGGAGCATGTGATTTGTGATCCGGCTCGAGTCTGCATTCCTTTTTCTTGCAATGCCTTGGATGATTTGCTGGCAGATGTTCATCTGACATGTTGGGTCTGTGATTTTACCTTCAAAGTCAGTGCAGAAGGGCTTTGTCTAGGCTGCATAGGTCCGCTAGGCTTGGTATTGTCAGAGTCTGGTCCGACTATGAGGATGATTCCGGCATTCTTCGTTGTGTGCAATGCAGAAGACGAAGAGTCGACTGAGGTGGCACTTCGTTTGTTTTTCGATTCCATGCGTGCTCGAGGTGTGGAGCTCACGGACGGATTTTGTGATTGCGCATGCTTGCAGGCCAGTTTGCAATTTTTGAGGAAGGAAGGTTACCGAGTGTACATGCACCGGTGCCTTCAGCATGTGAAGACAAACGTCAAAGTTGCTGCAGGGAAGCATGATCGCATCCATGGGCGAACCCGATTGGAGAACAAAGAGCTTTTGAGTTTCATCGTGCAATGGCTGGAATTTTCAGCTTTTCTGTGCGATGACATTCAATTCCACACCTTTTGGACATCAATTCTCCAGAGAATGTCTGCAAACGAAGTGGAAACTGATTTCAACGAGCCAGTGATGGCGGAGTATTTGCAGCGGAATATATTCGACTGCTCAGGTTGGGGATCCTGTTGAGTTGTTGAAATGACGGCATATTTGTTCATTGGATGATAGATAGACTGTGACTTTCTTGTGAAGCTGACTCTAGATTTTGCTTGACCCCCGGCTTGGAAATTGTAGTAAGTCCATGATGTAGTTTTCAAACACGCACATCACAAACTTTTTGCAACGGACTTCACAAGGGTCAGTTTCCCATATGGATTTGTCATTGGAGTACGTACTTCCCTGCAGGACCCTTGCTTCGTGCTTCGTGGCAGAGCGGCTTGGGCGCTGTACCCTCTGGCTATACCACGTTTGCGCCAAACGCTTTGGAATCTCATCACAGGGCGCTGAAGAGGCTGCTTTCTGGGAAGTCTGCTCATCGCAACATCGGCCAGTTGCTGCAGGAGGTTGGTGATGTAATCACTTCTAAGGCGCAAAGTGGCTTCTACAAAGGCTTGCGCCAATCTGTGGAAGAAGTGCCGAAGAATTTGTTTCATTGGCCGAAGAAGAGGCACCAACGCCTTCTCCCTGCTGGAAACGATGAAGATGAGGAAACAAAGTCTTTGCAGGCAGGCCTTTCGAAGTTCCACAATGGGTTTGTGTATGAGACACGGTTAGAAACCTTTCAATGTGTTCAGGAACGCCGGGGTCAAAACAATGTCATTCCTTGATTTATCATTCCCTGATCTTGCACGATCCTTTACTAATGACATTGCACCAGTCATTCCTGCAAGGTGAAATGCCTGGACCGAGCAGCTCTTCTTGCACATTATAGAGAGAAAGGCCCGCGTGGCACGTACGTGGCTTCGACATGTAAGCATCTTCTCGCGTCTGGTGATATGGCTGTTTTGGTTTATGTGATGCCGAAACATAAGCTACACTTAGCAACGCAAAGGCCAGCCGACATGATGGCGGCATTGAACTTGTCACTGGCAACCACGGAGATGGAAGTGCAGTCCGCTTGTAAGCACCCTGTTTCTGGCTGTTATGACATCATGAGACACCAGTACTTGGCGCAGACATTCACTGCGGTCTTTTGCACTTCTGACAAGCAACTCTTTGATGTACACAAGGACTTCCAAGTCTATGGTGGCCACACGGAACACACGCTCTTTGTTGCAGGCATTTTGGATTCTGGCAACTCCATTGCCGCTATTCCGAAAGGACCGAAGCATAGCCAACCATCGAAACCGAAGAGGAAGGCCAGAAAGATGCAGCATTTCGTAACACACTGTTGTGTGGTTTCCGGACTCACATGATGGAAAATAATGTACTTAAAAAGACAAAATGAGGTGGTCTATCTGTTTGTATGTGAAAGTT